ACCTTGTGATGGTGTCCCGGTTATGTTGTGATGGTGTCCCAATCATGTTGTGACGGTGTCTCGGTCATGTTTTGATGGTGCCCTGGTCATTTTGTGATGATGGTGTCCAAGGAAGAGATGGTCGATGTGTTGAAAACTGCAGCTGTTTCCAGATTTTTCTTTTTGTCCCGGTTTGTATCTTGCTATTGGGGTCTCCAGCTGGGCTAATTCTCCATCCATGTCAGTGCAACATTCATGAACGCATCTTGCAAAGCTGCGCCTCAACACAAAGAACCCGCTTGACCCATAGAATCATTCGCCACACGAAACTGGGGACTCTGTTTGAACAGAATCCTGTCAACAAAAACCAAAACAGACTGACGAATCTGTCTCAGAAGTCGTTATGGCATGCTGTAGCACCTCTCGCTTCCGAAGCTCTTCCTCCTTGGCTCTCCTTGCTTCTGCTGCTTTCTGCTCACTCTCACCCGTCGCTCGCCGCTTAGGTGGGCGCGGAGGCTCCCTGTTAGAGGTTTGAAGCAGCATTCACAGAAACTTTCTTGTTTTTTATCTTACTAAGACCAAGCTTATCTGTGTTTCAATCATTTTTGAACGGAGCAGAACCAGCAGATGCCTGCCTGGAGCCACGAGTACTGGTGCCTGTGGTAGCGCTCGTCACACTCGTCACGGCTCTTTGGAGCAAAAGCTCTTTGGCTCGGCTGAGGCGCAAAAAGCGCATCTTGGCTAAGGCATCCTGCCGAAGAAACGTAACAAGGGCACTACTACTAGTAACGAGAACGCTACTAGGGGCTCCTGGCCTTACTACTAGGAACAAGAAGCTATTAATTAGGGGCTCCTGGCATCGCCACTAGGAGCAAAGACGCTACTAGGGCCATCGCTATTAGGTTGGAGGCCATCGCTAGTAGAAGCATAAACGAGCATACAAAAAAGATGAGTTTCTCTAAACGCATGGGTGGGCCGAGGCTGTGAAGAGGAGGTAGCTGAAGTACGTAGCAAACTAGTTAGTAGGTAAATATAGTCTAGTCGCTACTAGCAAGTAACGGCCGCTACTAGGGGCCAGAACGCGCTCTCTGCTCAGGCTTCTTTAAGGAAGCTCTCCGCAACGTTGTTCTGTTTCTGAAGAGTTGACTTAAGCCTCGAAGCCCCGAAGATCAGATTAGAACACTATCAACATCTACAAGCTTTGAGATGGACTGGGCGCAAAACTCAAGGCCAATTCATGAAACAATAAGAAAGAATGCAACGTTCATCCGGATTTTTCGCTTCTTTGTCACACAGCTCAGTCAGAGCCCACATCCAAGAAGTCCATGGAATGAACAGTGCAGCACTGTCTGAACTCGCGGCCTTCGGATGTCTATCTGGATGACACCGCAAGGCCCGACGTCGGAAAGCGCTTTCAATGTCTCGGCGCGGGGCATCCAGCACAACACCCAACAGTGTGGCGGCCTGCGAAGCAAAAGCCGCACTTCGGCTGATGGAAGCCATGCTTCTTCTTGCTACTAGTAACGATGCTTCTTGTGTTTTTATTTGTAGAACTTGTTGGAGACAAGTGCGACAAAAGGCTTCTTTGAGACTTCCTGTCTTCGAGACCTTGCGCACTTGGAAGGACCAGGTCTTGGGCGGTCTCTTCCCTGGACTCGTGCTTTCAGGGTCTTGCTCTGGACTAGTAATAAGGGCATTACTACTATCTACAGTAGTAGCTAGAACCTAAGCTACTAGTAGCGATGCACTGGCTACTACGCTGTAAAAAACCCAGTTTGTCCTTTTTCTGGAATATCTGCTCCACCCACTCTGCCTCCTTGACACCGCAGGCGCTCATTGCTCATGAGATCCGTCGAACAAGCCGTTCTGACATGTAGCTTGCTATCGAGAAAAGCATAATCTTCATCGCTATTAGGTTGGAGGCCATCGCGATTAGATTCACTGTACATTAGTTTGATGATGTTTGATGAAGACTCCCCCACAAAGGTAGAACTGGACGAGTCCACTCCTTACATGGCAGTAGCTTGTAGAAGCGCATTGCAACTGGGTCTGTCTTCCTATCCTGTCTGCTTCTTGCTGGTTTCTCCAATTAAACAGAACCACCTTCATAAGCTTGAGTCAACGGCATGAGATTGGCATAGTTGTCAGAGATAGTTGAGGCCAACAGGCATACCGCATACCCTCAAAAAGGCTACTGGTAACAAGGTGCATCGCCACTAGTAGCAAGGACGCTACTAGTAACAAGTGCATTTCCATTGGCAGCAAGAAGCTACTAGGAACAAGGCACCTTACTACTAGGAACAAGAAGCTACTAGTAGCTAAGGGCATTACTACTAGTAGCTCCTGGCATCTACCAGTAACAACAGTTCCCAGTTTGGGCATCTGAGATCCTCGCTTCTTGGCCCAACTGGCTGCTGTGTCAGGATCCGGCACCACGACAGCCACCAACCTAAGAAAGCTCTAAATTTTCGGCTTCTCCTCTTACAATCTTCTCCCTGTTTTTATGGTTTTCCTTGTTCCTAGTAGCCACTTAACAGTCTTATCCCTTTGTTTCCGTCTGAGTGCCCCACTGGGTCTTCAAGGAATCTCCGTAGACAAAGCTCTGGGCCACAAAGCTGCTTTGTACCTCGCTTTCCAACAAAAAAAGGCAAAAGGAAAAAGAGCAATGAAAGGTCTAAAGAATAACGGGCTAAACCGGGCTAAAGGTCTAAAACCTCGCTTTCAACAAGAAAAGAAAGAAAGGTCGCTCCAGGTTTCTTCTGCTTTCTGAAGCTCAGACGTTCAATCCTTCGATCTTCTCCGGGGAAACGTATTCACCTGCGACGAAAGTGACAGGTCGAAGCCGAAAGCAGAAACCAACTCTGCGCAAACAGGCTGCACTCGTTCAACTCTCACATCCTCAACTTGTAACAAAGGGCATCGCTACTAGGAACAAGGACGCTACTTGGGGCTCCTGGCCTTACTAGCAGTAACAAGAAGCTACTAGTAACAAAGGGCATCCTTCTTTCTCTGCCTTGCGCCAGCTTAAAGATGTTCTTCTTGCGATCGATGATTTTCAACCGGCCATCGGGCAACCACATCCTGAGACCACATAACATGCACATTGAGAAACCCATACATGGTAAAAAAACATTTTTCATGTCATGCTTTCTCAAACACTTATGACATCTCGGAAGAATACCCGATGTCTCCGGAATGGAACCATCCATCCTCATCAACGGCCTTTGCGTGCACAAGACCGCAAACAACAATCCACTGACATGCTCTCAAAAGTGGCCTCCGCAGTCTTCTCTGGCATCTTGTAATAGCCTTCTCAAGTAAGAGGCTGCTATTGAAAATGAAATCCTTCAAGCTGGACAAAAGCTGCCCGCGTACCAAGACAAACATGGACATGTGGCCTTTGAAGACATTGGTTCCTTTGAAGCAAATCTCTCCGCGGCCATGGCCTTGGAGTTCGACCGGTGAGCCCTCCGGCGACCCTCTGAACCCTCCTGGAGCTCGGACAAGGAATGGAGACTTCTCCCGCTTTGTGAACCTGGCAAACCAAAACAAAACACCGACGTCTCATCTTGTCATGTGGAGTCCATCGCTAGTAGGTTGGAGGCCATCGCTACTAGGGGCATTCCTGGCCTTACTCCTAGGAACAAGGACGCTACTAGGAACAAAGGGCATCGCTACTAGGAGCAAGGACGCTACTAGGGGCTCCTGGCCTTACTAGTAGGAGCAAGAAGCAAGTAGGAACAAGTGCATCGCTACTAGGAGCAAGTGCCTTACTAGTAGTAACAAGAAGCTACTAGTTTCATCTCGTCTCTGGGGCGATGCCCCACGATTGCTTTCAGTGTGGCCTGGTCGGTGCGAAGGTAACCTCACTTGACACGTTCCACACAGCTGTTCACAGTGAGCACCATTTAAGCACATCATGGTGAGCAGGAAGTCTGAGGCTGCAGCCCATGTCTGGCACATCCTAACAATGTGACAAGTTGTTGCAAGGAACGTCTACGTTGCCATCACAACGATCACTGCACTGGCGTCAGGAAAGCCAAAACTTGGTGCTACTAGGAGCTCCTGGCATCGCTACTAGGAGCAAGGACGCTACTAGTAACAAGTGCCACGCTAGTAGTAACAAGTGCCTTACTAGTAGTAACAAGAAGCTACTAGGAGCAAGGACGCTACGTTCGGGGCACCGATCGGTCACTTCTGCCGCCCGTCCTTCAAACGTAGCTCATTGCAGCTCAACACCGCACCGACGGTGCCAGGGGCCAGATCGCCGTCCGCGGTGACGGTACCTACAAACACAGAGCAGGAAGATCTTTTCTTCATCCCTCGGAACCTTTTCGGTCCTACTAACGTTCTTGTTCCTAGTAGCGATGCCAGGAGCCCCTAGTAGCGTCCTTGCTCCTAGTAGTCCTTTCCTGAAGAAACCGTCCACTTTAACGCCTTTTTGGAACATCAGGGACAAGATCATCTAGCGGTTTCTTGATTTACTTCGAAGAAACACCTGATCGTTTTGATCCCTTTTGGCCTGCTCCAGAGGTCTCTGAGAGACCATAGCCCTCAAAGACCTGTCAGTTTCCCACAAGAAAATGAGCATTCTGTGAAATGTCAGAGAATGGAAGACCGGTCATATGTAGCCTTCAGTCCAAATTCGCCCTCACTCTCTATGACGGTCAATCAAACATGTCAGGGTTGCAGGACATGCGAAGACCTGATGTTGTCGGAGAGGGAAGGTGTGGAATGGCTGGATACTCACGTGGGTCTCCTCATGCTCATTCTAGGTGTCAGTGGTGACCCCTCATAAGTTCACGAGCTTGTTCCCTTCTTCAAATAGCTGAGCCTTTAAAAGACCAAATAGATGAGGACACCAGTATGTGCGTTAAAGCTAAAGCTTCAGGGCACACATCTACAATTCTTATGGCTCGTTTTCTGCTGTATGACTTGTCCCTAAAATGTGAACCGAAACGCTCATGGTGCATCTTTCGGGTAGGATCGATGCGGAAATCTCTTCAGATCACGAGATCGAGGAGACTGAGGCTCTTGCGATTCTTAAGAAGTCCAAGACATGGTCAGCAATCGGAGCGCTCCCAGTGATCATCACGCGCACCTCGCTAGTTCACCAGCAAGAAAGCTAGAAGAAGACAAAACAAAACTATGGACAACAGAATAAGTTCTAAATAACCATCACTGTGCCCCTTTTTGTATTCTCAGTCTTTTTTGGGTTGGGGGGGCGGATTCCAACACATATCCGACAAAGCGGATGCGTGAAGTTCTGTTTCCCTCAAAACCTCGGAGCCAAATGATCATTGGCCGGTCAAAAAAGAAACAAGAAAAGAACACATAGAAAAGACAAACATACAAGAAAAAAGGATGTGTGAAGCTCTGGCCTTTTCACGACGACTCGCTGAACCTGATCGACGGCACCTTGTTGAGGCCAACCTTCTCGGCGATCTTCGAAAAAATCAGCCTCCAACGGTGCGATACGAAGGACAAAAAGAACATAAACACGAAACACATTAAACAATGCTTCAAGTAAACCGAACAGCTCGTGCAAAAAACACCATAAACAATCATTCTAAACATATGTTTGATAAGAGAAGGTCAGTGCTAGAACACTTGTGAGCCCCTTCAAGCTCCGACATTTTTCTTTGTTTAATAGCTTCACTATGCTTCACTCAACAGAAGATATGAATCGATCTTCACCTGCATGCAGCTGTACACTGTACAAACCGATTGGGTCGCGCCTATCCCACAAGGGATGAGTGTTCTTTCCATCTGCAAGAGCAGCCTTCTTTGCAGCATAAGCTCGATCAAAGAGAACCTTACGCTCGGCCACAATCCGGTGGACCTCTCGAAGTGTCATTCCGTCACATCAACCCAGTCGTCCGTAACAAGTGCCACGCTAGTAGTAACAGGTGCCTTACTAGTAGTAACAAACAACTATTAGAATTGAATTTAAATCTAAATTAAATTAATAGCGTGGCACTTGTTTCTAATAGCTTTCTTGTTACTACTAGTAAGGCGGAACCCAGTCGTCAACCCAGCAAGCAATTGTGGACATGCTTGGAGTCCGCCTTCTTCAAACCGCCCGCTTCTTGCACGCCCGCCAAGAGCCTGCAGAACTTCGTCTCTTCTTTCAAACAACCGAAGTCCCATGTGGACCATGCAGTTTATGTGTTCCTTTTAAGTTTGGGTCCAAACTGGGAAAAAAACAGAGTGCTTTAGTCTCAAAAAATGACATACACTCTCCAAAGGCCAGGTTTCAGCTGATACAAAGATCTATTCACACTTCTCTGCTGGAAATTGTTCCCAAACAAGCAAGTATAATCAAAATTAAAAGACTTTGAGCACCTCAGCAGCTCTTCATATTCACTGTTTTTTGGGTTCTCCTAACGCACTCACTCTTTTTCTTTTCCAGCCTGCCAGCAGCAGGAGACGCTTTTAAAGAAGCTGCTGCAAGTTTCACCACTCAGCTCTCTTCCCTGCCCCTTTGATTCACTCCAAATTTCTTATGCTCTCACACTCACACAATCAGCATGATGAACTTGTCTTGATTGCTGCGAGTGGCATGAAACTGGGGAGTCTTAGTCTTAGCTTCCACATACCGTCAGTAGACAGCTGGTCCAGCTGGGATGAGGCAAGGCCTCGAAGAAGCTGCGGACGCGATGTGGTATCGAAACCACAAGGCATGGAAGTGTCCGCTTGAAATCGGAACGGGATGCTTCGAATGTGCTTCTTTCTCTTCAACGAATGGGGACAGCCGACGTGCTTCGATCCACATCCGAAACATCCCAACAAGATTTCTGGTGCAAACGCGCAGTTCTGCGCACATTCGGCCAAAAACACTGTGAGGCAAATGACACCCAGCAACAGCCACAAGGCTGATCCAGAAAGCTCCACCAATGTCAATCCGGAAAGTCAATGGTCCAATAATCCCAGTGCCCCCTTTCTACATCAAACGCAGTGTCGCACTTTCTGGCGAGAACCGGGAGGCGTGCATAAGGTCTCTCGTTGAGACGGCTCCACATCGTTCTCCAGTGGGATGGATCATTTCAGTCTATTTTGCCTTCAAAAGCAACTCCAACATGACTTTCCAAAAAGCAAACAAACACAACAAATATAATGCTTTTTCTCCAAGGTTTCTTACACATACTTTTGAATAAACAAACCGGCGCTTCTGTTACTTTCTTTAATCAAAATCAGAGTTTGCTGAAGGTCTTCCTGTGCTGCAGCCACGAAGAGTTCTGTGCCAATGGTGATTTCTGCTGTGAATAGTGACTAGCGCCATAAATGCTGAGGTTGATACACCCGTCCGGAACCCCAAAACAAAGTCACGGAGCCTTTGCTCCTAGTAGCGATGCCCTTTGCTCCTAGTAGCGATGCCAGGAGCCCCTAGTAGCGTCCTTGCTCCTAGTAGCGATGCCAGGAGCCCCTAGTAGCTTCTTGTTACTGGTTAGGTGTCCCTAAAAATCTAGGAACCAAATCTTTAGCGCGAGCTAGCCTGCGTCCTAGCTAGAAGCTCAATAGTAGCTAGTAGCTACCTGATCCTTCTAGCGGCCTACCCCCGCGGGGTTTCCCGTCTGGACACTTCACCCAGTTTCGATGAGTTTTTTTTTCCGCAGGCACTTGCGGTTTCCAAGATAGCAATGGCACCGGGCAACTTCGTTGTAACATGTTGTACGGCATTCCAGCATTTCAAGGACAACCAGAAGGAAAGACATCTACAAAATGATAATCAAATCGACCACTGGCTTGACAACGCTCTTGAGGATCTCGCCACATAGGGGCGAGCTCTCAACTTCAAATTATTCTAGCAGGTTTCTATGGAGATGGTAGTTCTTTCCCCCCAGCCCGGCAATGTGTCCACCTTTGCACTGGGGGGGTGCTTCCCAAATCTGAAACCCGGGACCGACTTGCATCCACTGTGCATCCATTCAATGTTCCTGAATTGGAGGCATCCGCTCAGATTCCGTATCGCCTCTCTTGAGGTGCAATTTGGTGCACTCTCCAAGGAAAAAGGACAAAAAAGGAAAGCTTTTTTTCTCCAGAAGCTTCAAAGACATACTAGAAAGCTTTATTGTTACTAGTAGCGATGGCCTCCAACCGAATAGCGATGGCCTCCACCTAGTAGCTTCTAGTTACTAAAAAAATGAAGAAAAAAAATTGATTCTTCGGAAAAAAAACTACCCTACATGCTCTCATGCTTGTGCATCCAAGACTTGTGGCAACAGCAAAAGGTTTGGAAAGCCAAAACAAGAGCCCTTGCTGGAAACACTTCGATTTTGACTCCTTCCGAAAATCACATTGCTAGGATGGAGGCCATTGCTAAAGGATAACAAGACCTCGAGTCTTAAGTCTGAGAATATGTCACAATAAGCTACTAGGAACAAGTGCATCGCTACTAGGAGCAAAGGCCTTACTAGTAGTAACAAGAAGCTGTTAGAAACAAGTGCATCGCTTCTAGTAACAAGTGGCTTACTACTAGGAACAATGTTTGCTATTAGAAACAAGAAGCTTGTAGTAACAAGTGCCACGCTAGTAGTAACAGGTGCCTTACTAGTAGTAACAAGAAACTATTAGCTTATTGTTTCTAATAGCTTCTTGTTACTACTAGTAAGGCACCTGTTACTACTAGCGTGGCACTTGTTACTAGTAGTAACAAGAATTCATCTGTTTCTTCGGTTCTACCGCGCACCGCGTGGGACCGGACCCCAAGCTCTGGGCCAAAGCACCGGCGCTGGTCTGCCGGGGCATGGAGTTCGGGGATCGTGACCTGGGAGATTTGACTCCGAAGTGACTTTTGAACAAACAACAGAAACGAAACAAAAACGACAGAAATCAACAAACAACACTTTAATCATATGTTCTTATTCTTCGTTCTGATTTTCTTCCTCAATTCTTTCTTCCTCAGAAGCAATACCTCCTTCAGCAATCTTTGACTTGCTCACATTGCAGTACTTTCTTGCCATGCAGTCCAAATTCTACAACACTCTATAGATCCCCCAAAAACCTGCTATTCAATACTCCTCTGTCAGCTTCACTCTAATCTTCTTGAGCTTACACTGCTATGGTGCTGTTGAGGGGCGACTCTAGAAGTGGGGCATCAATGGAGAGAGCCGCCAAGAGTCCTCTTTTCTTGCTGCCTGCGTCATGGCTTCATGGGGCAGGTGGAAAAAGCACTAGGCATTGCTGTTCAAACTTTCGTTCTCCGCTCTTAGGTTGGAGGCCATCGCTAGTAAAAACAGAGAAAAAAGTAAAGGAAGAAAGGAGTGAAACACACTCGCGGAAAACACACACACACACTGCTCTTCAATGTATCAAGCAACATCACTGGTATAGCAAGCACGCGACCTGCAATTCAAACTACTTCCATTCTTGCTGACAAATAAAGCAAATACCAAGCTTCACAAGCATGTAAAACCATTCCAACAGACCGCAAGGAGGTCCGGCGTTCGGCCTTTAGCGAGCTTGGGTTGATCCCGATTGCACATCTTGGCAAATTCTTCACTGCTCACCAATCCGGCTGTCTTTCCTGCCATGCCTTCCTCGGTAGATCCAACATTCTAAACAAAAAGGGCAAAATGACAAGTGTGCCAATGGAAACTTTAGAACGACCAAACTTTTATGAACGTATGGAGATATATCAAACGAATGATCCACATGGAGCACACATCGAATTGACAAAGGCATGGACCATTTGCAAATCTACTAGGTTGGAGGCCATCGCTACTAGGGTAGTCCATGTCTCCTCTCTCTCTCTCTCTCTCGTCGCAAAATTAGCTGAGCTCAAGACAAATAGCGGGTCTGTGCGAATCTGGTCCCGACACTATGGCTGCAGCTTTTGTACAAACTCGCTTCAAGCCAGAAAGCGTGCGCCACAAGGAAATTAGAGAGCCGTTGCGTCGCGCAGTGGCAAACAATGGCTCCAACACCGCCAATCGAAATCAGGATTCGATTCTGATACCTTTCTCTGATACGAGAAAAGAACAGGAACCATTTTCCACCTGTTTGTTGCGCCTCCTCCCATGTCCCCTTTTGTTTCCCCTCTCCGAATCGGCCTGTCATGGACTCGCGTCAGAAGTCGCGGGACTGACGGAAAAATGGTGGGTCTGAGAGCCTGCGAGGCGGCCGAGGCCGCCGCGTCGACATCACTTGGTGGCGCTGACGTCATCCGAAAACAAGGTGTTGCCCATTGATGGTTTGGCGTGCTTGAGGTACGCACGCAACACACTAACTACTTTAAGCCAAAGACAATGGGAGGCCTTTATGGACAACTTAAAAATAGCGAGCAAAAGAACAGCACAAGTTAATCAATGTTTGAAAGACCATTGCTTCTAGGTTGGAGGCTTTTGGTCTCCTGAAGGTCGTCCACAATCTTCAAGGTGTCCCCCTGGTAGAACCCAATGCGACCGCCACCAAACAGCGTGCCAAACCTCTCACGGAGCTCGGAAGCCACGTGGGAAGCTGCGAGAACGAAGCCGGTTTGAAAAAGAGACAAACATAAGAGAACGTATACATGAAGTAAATATATTACATATTATATTACCTCTTCTGTTATTCTTCCCAAGAAATTCGATTTGACAATGTCTTTTTTCCGTCCAATCGAGTCCCAGAATTGCAACAAAAAACGTGCACCGTGAAGCTACCCGCTGAAATGCTCTGAGGCCAAAGACTGCACCATTCGCTCGAAGATGTGAGGCAAAGGCAAATAGGACAGCAACACATCGTCTCCGGTGAGGGTCGTGAAGGGCTGCCTCACAGTCGGATTGGGAGACTGAAGAACGGAGTGAACCAAGGCAAAGGAAACAACCAACATGTGAAAAAGAAAGAAGCAAACAAGCATAACAGGCATAACTTACACATCTGGGAACATCTCCAAGGATTCTATCGTTGCTCCTGAAGAGTTTTGGACACTTGGAAAACTCTTCAGTTTCTTCAGTCTTTTTCAAGTGACCAAAGAACCAGCAAAGAACCAGAAAAGAAATTTGTTGTGCCTGCCGCGGGATGCTCCGAAAGCTGAAGCGAGGTTCTCATGCCTTGGAGAAAATCCAGTTTGGGCCAGTAAAAGGTCGGCTCCTTGCTACACCTTACCGATCAACAAGGCTGGAGGCCAACGCTACTAGGTTGGAGGCCATCGCCCTTACGTGGGAGGCCATCGCTCTCAGGTTGAGGGCCAACGCTCTTAGGTTGAGGGCCATCGCTACTAGGTTGGAGGCCATCGCTC